AGGTATTCATAGGCTACATTCTGGCGTCGCCTTTCATCCATTTCCTCCGCTGTTAACCTCTCATTATCCAAGACGGCTGAAAATAAACAAAACACAGCCCATGGTTGAAGATTGAATGTAATGGAACAAGCACATCAAAAATCAGATCCAACCTCTCCCACAGAAACTCATGACAGTTGTTTTTCTTTAATTCAGAAAACTAAGGATCTAATGACTTGTTCTTTACGAGCAACAGAAAACTCTCCATTGCCTTATCCTTGTCACATAAATTTGCCAGATTCCTTCTTCCTGATTTCTCAAATTGACTGCATCCCTCTCACAATTTCTTAGAAACAATCCTTTATTTTCTTATTTTCTTCTAGATTTGCCTTTATCTTCCTCAAAAGCCCAACAGTGACCACTTGTCTCCTCACCTATCCTCCAATTTTGATAGCAAAAGATTAATGAAGGACACAAATATGTATTCACATCATATAATCCCTTCTATATCTTTATAGTCCACCTCTAAAACAAGGTGGAAATGCTACTCACACTCCCTATAAGGAAGGGAATCATTCAGATTCCCAACCTGCATGCCATCCTCACATCATGCTGAAGATCTACATAGGGGTAATATGCCTTAATCTTCTAGATTCTGTATGTTCAAAGCCTCAGTGAAAAAGTCTTCTCTTCCCATACTTATATCTCATGTCAAAAAAAGAAGAAAAACCTACAGATTTTAGGTTTTATGAACCAATTTGACAAATAGGAAATATCTCATACTGTTATTAAGCAAAGGTTAGCTTATACCTAAAATAACTTCAACAACAATCTGCAGTGCACTTGTGAGACCCCAGCAGGAACAATGCATCCAGGTCTGGTGTCCTCAGCACAAAACCTGCTACAGCACGTCCAGAGGGCAACAAAGATGCTATGGGGGCTGGAACCCCTTTCCCAAAACGGCAGGCTGAGACAGCAGGGGTTGCTCAGCCTGGAGAAGGCTCCAGGGATACTTCACTGTGGCCTTTCAGTACTTAAAAGGAGGCTTATAAAAGGAAGAGGGCGATACTGATGGGACAAGGGGGAACAGTTTTAAACTAGAAGTGGAGAGATTTCGACCAGATGATAGGGAGAAATTCTTGAACCAAGAAAATAGTGAGGCATTGGCACGGGCTGCTCACAGCTGCGGCGACCCCATCCCTAGAAGTGTTAAAAGACCAGGTCCGACTGACTGCCGCCTACAACATCGCCCCTCCACAGCACCACAGGCGAGCCCACGCGTCGGACGCCACGATGCCCCCTCTCCACAGCAAGCCCACGACAAGGCAGTCGTGGGACAACGCGAGTCCGACGGGAGCGGCGTTCCGCCTGGCAAATGGGGTGTGGTCGCCAGAATCGGCGGGAAGGCGGAAGGCAGGGCCGCCCCCGCCCCGCCCGCGGCGGACATCTTGGGCGCGGCGCAGGACTCGCCCGCGGCAGACGACGGCGGCACAGCCGCGGGACGCCCCGTCGCTGCTCATCCACTCGTGCTGGCACTCCTCGCCAGCACTCACGAGGACCGTCGAGCTTTGGCGAGCTCCCGCGCGGCACAGCGCCCATCTCGCGGAAGGCGCAGCTCGCCGGGGCCCGCGAGGAGAGCCGGCGGGGCGCACCGCGCCCGCGGGGCAGTCCCGGAGCCCGGACCCCGCGGCTGCCCCCATGCCTGCGGTGACCAAGCTTCCCCTCCCAGCGCTGGACGCTGGAAGGCACGGACAGCTCGGGCGGGGCGTCGCTTGGCGGTCACGCGGATTCCCAGACCCCCGGGGTTCCGGTACTCACAGCCATAGTGGGGCCGAGACACGGCCAGCCCGTCCACGTCCGCCGCCGCCATGGCGCTGCGCTAGGCCGGGGCTAGCGGGAGCAGGGCGCGGCTGTTCCTCTTCCTGTGCACCGGGTGTGGCGGGGGAGGAGTCGCCCCTCCGCGCTCTCTCTCCCTCTCCCCGCCCCGGCCGCACCCTAGACGCCCCCGCCACCTTCGGCCGCCGCTGGAGAGAAACGGCGAGTTGCGCAGTCCCACTCCGGCCGGACCCAGCCCCCAGTCTAGCTCGGCCCATCCCGTAAACCTGAAGGACCCGGCTCGGGCGCCTTGTCCCTCCCTCTCACAGGGCCAGCGCCCTGGCCCTGAATCTTCCTGTTAGCCTCATTCCTAACACCCAGCTAAGCTCTCGAACTCCGCCGGCATATGCGGCACAACCCAGGTCAACCTGGTCATGACCCACGTCTTACCCTCTCAGCTCTCCCAGCCCAGCCATGTGCGCCCAGCCCATGTGAGCCCCACTGTGTGCGGTGCAGCCTCATCAGCTCAGCCTCCACGGCCCGGCTGCCTCCCACATGCTGCTTTGCCTAAGCCCTCTTGTCCTGCCAGGTTCCCCAGCTGCATTGCCCTTCACAGTAGCAAAACCTGGCCTTGCTGGAAGCAGCCATGCCTTTCCATCTAAACATCTCTACTGATCAAACCGTGGTAACTCACCTGAAATGTCAGCCACAAGTGGAAGCAGGGTGCCCAAAAACAATAGCAATATCCAGAAGCACTGCCATAGGAGAATCATGCCCTGAAAATTTCCTTCCCCTCAGTACATATTACTGTTGCTTTGCCTATTTCTTGTTCAAGGGTCAGAGCACTGACAATACCAGCCACCATGTATCCATTTTAATTAGTTCCATGAATTTCAGTGCCAGGGCATACATTTACTACCAAAGCCCATATTAAGTAATTTAGAAGACCAATAGCCTCTGTTAGGAAAAGCATCACCAGCAGGTAAGGGAGACATCTTTCCGGCTGTGGATTCAGTTTCAGCCTCCCCAGTACAAGGAAGACATGGACATAATAGAACAAGTACAGTCAAATTGATTAAGGGTTTGGAGCATCTGACATATGAGGAGAGCACAAGAGAACATGCCAAGAATCAGTGGGCAATGGACTGACAAACATAAAAAGTCCCATTTCAACAAAATAAAAAATGTTTGTATTCTGAAGGTGATCCAACACTGGAACAAGTTACCTGGAGAAGTTGTGGAGTCTCTGCCCCTGGAGACAGTTGAAGCCTAACTAGGCATAGTCCTGGACAAACCCACTCGAGTTCACCTGGTATTGAGGAAACAAGGTGGGACTAGAGACTTCTAGAGGTCACTTCCAAACTCAATGATTCCATGAGCCCATCAAAAAGTACATTTACTTACTATATATACTTAGGCAACAAGCAATAGGACAAGAAGACACAGTCTAAAGCTGTGCCAGGGCAGGTTTTGGTTGAACATTATGAAGAATTTCTGCACAGGAAGGGAGATTGGAATGGGCTGCCAAGGAACATGGTAGAGACATCATCCCTGGAAGTGTTAGAAGAAAGGTTGGACATGGCACTTAGTGCCTCAGTCTAGTTGATGAGGTGGTGTTCGATCATTGGTTGGACTCAATCTTAGAGAACCTAATTGATTAAAGAAAGACATAATTCAATGGTTACAGAAATAACTACATTGGGGAATGCCAGACATAAATTACAAAACAAAAGGTTTCATAATACAGTTAGGGTTCTATTTATTAACATTTGCACTACTTCACATGTGGCCACTTGGAAGTTATGCAGTGAGAAGACATTCAAAATAATGTTTATATGTAGACTGTGGAATGCAGAATTTATTTTGTTCCCCCTAAAAATCTCATAACATTTTTTGCACAGTGCCACAATCCTCCCTCAAAAACATCTTATTCTAATAAGAAAAATAAAACACAATTATTACATATCATCAAAGAACCTTTCTGAACCTCTTCAAGGTTGTAGTCAACGGTACCTCTAACAGCTCCCCTGATTTAAGATTTCTGGTGTTTGTTATTGACTCTGCAAAATGTTTTTATTAGGAGCTGTGTATTTATGTCTAATTTATTGCCTTTCCTGTTCCTTGGGGTTTTTTTTCCCTTAATATTGAATGAGCACTAGTCAGATGGCTCTGCAAGTATTACAGAGATACCTATTTTTCTCTCATTTCAAAATCTGAGCAACCAATTCTGTGAAAAAATCTTTTAAGTTTTTGGTCTTAATGACTAATCACTAGGCTTCCCAGAGGAAACCAAAATCCTTTAAATAAACTACTGTTATCTGTTCTTTTGCAGGGGCTTCCGGACCAAATGTTTACTGTGATATTTATGTCAAGGATGCATAACAAATGTCTAGCCCAACCCCCCAGTCTTTATTATGACGCTAGAAGGTTTGTCAACAGAAAGACGATAGTTTTATTATACTCATACATGATAAACAATAATGTTGGGGCTCCCAATTTACACATAAAGCTGTACAACTAAAGATAGTACATGCCCATATTCTTGCTACATTTCAGACCTTATTGTGGCAAGCTGAACCGAACAGAAATTAGATGACCCTTAAGACTAAGCAATCATTTCTTCTAAATGAAGAAGAATAAAAATACACATAGCGAAAAACACTGTCAAAAATTGGGGGGGAAATGAAAAAGAAGCTGCTAAAAAATAGTTTATTTAATAACTTCATAGTTTTCAAACTAGACCCTTTTGAAGTTTTGAAGACTACCGGGCATACGACAGGAAGTGAAGGAAAGCAAGATATAATAAAGAGAGAAAGGTAAAACTGGCATTGATAAAACACTGACAGATAACCTGCGAAACCGATAAAGAAACCTACTGAGGCATACCGAAACCAAGTCTACATAGAAGATTGCGCGTTTGCTGTTGTCCTGAATTGGGACCTCTCAAACAGGCACTTGCCATCACTGCCACTCACGTTACTGCACCGTCCTCCTGCCGCGAGCCAAAGCCAACGCGCCTCTGGAGCGGTCGGGCGTGAGCGGCGCCACGGCAGCCCCCGCGCGACACCGCTCACGGCGCCCCCTGCTCACGGCGCCCCCTCCTCGCGGCGCCCCTCTCGGCGCCCCTCCCGCCGCGCCGCGCTCCCCGCCGTCCCCTCAGCGCCCCCCGCCCGCCGTTCCCGGCGGCCCCCGCGCTGCTCCCGGCAGCCCGCGCGGCCCCGCGCGGCAGGATGATCCACGAGCTGCTGCTGGCCCTGAGCGGGTACCCAGGGGCGGCCTTCACCTGGAGCAAGCGCGGCGGCCTCCAGGTGTGGAATGGCCCCGGGAAAAGCCCACCCCCCGGGCAAAGCCTACCCCCCGGGCAGAGCCCACTCCGGCTCCCGACCCGCCTGGTCCCTGCCCCCCACCCTGCGCGGCCCGTCCGTCCGTCCGTCACCGCTGTTTCCCCTTCCAGGTGTCTCAAGAGCTGCCGTTTCTGCATCCCAGCGAGACCAGCGTCCTGAACCGGCTCTGCCGCCTCGGCACCGACTACATCCGCTTCGCCGAATTCGTGGAGCAGTACACGGGACACGTACAGCAGCAGGTGGGGGCGCCGGGCCGAGGTATTTCCCGGGAAGAGCGCGGCAGGTGCTAGTAAGACCAAGCTGCCCAGGACACAGGAGTGGCCCGTGGCCCGTACGCGCGCTCGCACCGAGCAGAGCTCCAGAAAGCTCTCTGCGATGCTTGTAAGGGAGGGTAGAGAGCAATGAAGAATGAATCAAATGTAAAATCTTATTCTTGGGGACGTCTTGTAATAATTTCTGACCACAGAGGCCTGGCCAGTGTTTGTCAGCTGAGCAGAATGCTCATGACTATCTCCTCATGATTTGCAAAGACCCTTGAGATGCAAGAGGCATACCTAAGTGAAAAGAAGCACTGGTACCAGTGGCTCCCAGCATTTTCATATGTCCACAAAAGAGCTAAATATAAGTCTGCTCAAGTAACTCTAATTGTGACGAGGTTCTGTTTGTTTTTCTGATCACTTTGTGGTGAGCTAAGCTGCATTTCAAGATGTTCTGAGCACTGACTACTGCTGTGATACTGCACAGATACTACGTTACTCTTCAGAGTTGTGTGAGGATGCTGATGCAGATTTTATTGTTTGGTTTCAGGATCACCATCCATCTCAGCAAAACCAGAGTGGATTGCATGGCATTTATTTGAGAGCCTTCTGTACAGGTCTTGATTCAGTGCTGCAGCCTTATCGACAGGCACTACTTGATCTAGAACAAGAGGTAAAGGAGAGAGATACAGAACAAGAGGCTGTAGTGCTGCTGACAGATTGTGGAAACTTGTCATTTCTGCAATTAATATATAAGTAGTAGTTTCTAAAATTAAACAAGGTATTTTCCTTTCCACCTTAGGGATGCCCTCCTGTGAGAATTATTCCTGTGAGATGCCATTGTAAATTACTTTTCATCCTATTAAGTATTGTCCCCTCTTCCTTCAGTTCAGTAAAGGCTCCATCTTTGTCTGCTGTCTCAGACTATTGTGGTTTCTGTTTTCAGTTTTAGAGGTTTTGATTAATCTCTGCTAGACTAGTAGCTGTCATACCTTGGGTAGTGTCATCATCCAGTGGTTGTGATAATTAATCTTCTTTAATTGCTTTGTCTTTATAGTTTCTGGCTGACCCACATCTTTCCATCTCACATGTTAATTACTCCTTGGACCAGGTATGTCATGTTATTAAAGAGGTAGTGTTCTTTGCTTGCTCCTATCCCTCATTGAGTCTGTCTAATAAGAAAGTGGGTGGATAAACGAGGCTTATTCCATCATGTCATGCCATTTCTATCTAATGCCTCTACATATGTATTCCTTAATCATGCTCAGAGGATCACCTGCACTTCAACACAAAGCTAAGGTCCTCTACCTTGACCCTCACACATTGCTCACTGACTGTTTAGCCTGAACTACTGCTGGAATATAGTAACTTTGTGCATCTTGGCCCAGTGAAGGGAAGACATACTTCCTGGAGAGTTGCATGTCATGTTTCTGATTTGTGAGGAAACACAGATAATAGTTTTGTTAAATTATTGTGTTCAGCTGCTGTCCGCAGTTACTCAAGTACAGTTTTTTTTCTCTCTTCCTTACATAACAACCTAAAGCAATATTTCACTTCTTGTTCTGCAGTTTCAGTTACTCTTCCCCTCTGTGATGGTCATGGTGGAACAGATCAAAACTCAGAAGGTACAGTAAAATTGCAGCTAGTTTCTCTTAACAGATTTTCTCTTTAACTGACAAAGTAATTTCTGCCCCCATTCCAGACTTCTAATACTAGAAAATAATGTAGTTCCAGTAAGGATGCCCTGTTACTAGTTCTACTGTAACTATTGAGACTATTTTACAAATTCATTTACACTGTATTTGAATTTTTCCCTTATCCCATAGTCTTTGATGTGCTGAATTTTATAGGACAGTATGCTCAGTAGGTTGGAATTTTTCTCTTCTGAGACTGTTTTTTCTGGCTGGTGCCTGAAATAAAAAAGGCAGAGGCTAATGTTTTAAGAATCCAGAGATGCTTACATTTTTTTAAGGGAAAGTATTGAGAGAAACTTGAGTGTAAAGCCACACATAGAAGGCCTTTTTCATCACTACATGCAGCATGTTACACCTTTCTTTATGCAAGACTGTGAAGGCATTTTTTTGTTAGCTGAAAGTGTATTGTTTAAATGTATTAAAAGGTCAATACATATCCAAATAACAGACCTAGTGTAACCTTTTCTTTCTCCAGATTCATGGGTGCCAAATATTGGAGACAGTCCACAAACATAGCTGTGGGGGGTTGCCTCCTGTTCGCAGTGCTCTTGAAAAGTATGTAGATCCAGTAAAACTATTACTTCATTCTTCTGGAGTTAGTGTCAGAGTGTTTCTTACTTGTTGAAACAGTACATGCAAAACAGCCTTGGTATAAAAGTAGGAATAGCATGCAGGAGAAAACTGTCACCATCCTCATTATTTATCTAAAGCAGGCTTCTGGTGAGAATTAAGGCTAAGGGCTTAGGAAACTTCACACCCAGGTTTTTCTTCTTTTTTGTGCATATCACTGATCTCTGACCTTTGATCCTTCAAAATTATAAATGTGACTCTGTGAATGTTCTGATATTTGTATGTCCTTGTGGAGAAAGTCAAACCACTTAAAATGTTCTTTGAGTAGAAACAGCAACCACTGCAGACTTATACCTCTGGTATACTAGCAAATTTCCATGGAGAAGCCACATATTCAGAGGATATGTTAGCTTAGTTTTGCACCTTCTAGTTTTGTCCACCCTTGTTTAAAAAAAAAATAAATATATATATAAAATACCACATTAGGCATTTAGTACTTTCCATACTCCTTGGCTGACCAACTGGACTTTCTGGAACAACATACAATGAGGTTTTGATTATTGTGTGCAAAGGCCTGACTGACTGTTTCACATGACCTCAGGATTCTGGCTGTGTGTCATGGAGTCATGTATAAGCAGCTCTCTGCCTGGATGCTGCATGGATTGCTACTAGACCAACATGAAGAGTTCTTTATCAAACAAGGCCCCTCTTCTGGAAATGTCTCTAGCCAACCTGAAGAAGATGACGATGACTTAGGAATTGGGGGGCTTACAGGAAAACAGCTACGAGAACTGCAGGACCTGGTAAGATCTATGAGTCATAACTTGGCATCTTTGGTTCTTAGTGAACTAAAGATGTGTATTGTATTCTACTTTGGTGCGAGCTATGCTAGACTATACTGAAACCTTCTAGGATGGTAAAGTGAAATAATACTGTGATAGGTTGCTGCCAGGCCTAAGGGGCAGAGACCTATTGTTTGGCACAGCTGCATAACTCCACGGCAGAAAGCCCTATGGATGGAATAGATGTTGATGTCAAGTAGTGGGAACTGCTGCATGCCCACTGCTCTTAACTGACTGGTTCCTCATTCCTTATGGTCAACACCGTGATCTGTTTAGCATAGGCAATGGTGATAGTGTGAATAATTCAAGAAACAGGGTGTGGGGAAGGTGGCTGTTGATTTGATTTGATTTGCACACTTTCTATAGGCACCTGGGTCAGGTGCCTTTCTTGTACAACCATTAGTTGTGCAAATGTTACATAACAGGTTAATTCTACTGACATTACTGGTAGAAAATGTGTTATGTGAGAGTCAAGGGACTGCTAAGCAAGGGAGCAACCTGCCGGCACACTAGTGAAATGTGGTAACACTTCCTGTAGATGCTATACCATTAGAGTGCCCTTTTGCAAAGCACCTTTCTCAATGGAATAGTCTTCCACACTGAACATCTGAAATAGTGTCTGAATAGAGAATGGTCTGGAGCAAGTTCAACTCTAAATTTACCCTCTAGTTTATGGTGAGAAAACATTTCATGGGCACTTATGGAGTTAGTGTGGTACATGCAGCTTTGCTGTGACTACACAGAAACTGTGTTGCAAACTAATTAGGTGCCCTGTGCCAACAGTCTCTGCTGAAAATGGACTACACCCAGAGAAAAACAGGGAAAAACTTTAAAAGGTAGTTAGTTGAAAAATCTGTTACTTCACTATATTGGATAAAGAAAGTGAAAATTGTTCAGTCTTCTAGGTCCATGGTTGAAATTGCAGACTAAGCAACTTCTTTCTTCAGTATTATCGACTAACAGCATTGGCAATTCTTCAAAGAGTAAAATAGGAACTCTTGAGTTTTAGTGGAATAGATCGATGAAATACTTGGGTATTGCCTCATCTAAAAGTGTTGCTAGAATCTTAAGAATTGCCAACCTGTTAACATCAGTATACAAATTACTACTGAATTCTCCTATTGAAATGAAGAATTTTGTAGATGGCAAACATTCTCAAAACCGTGGGTGATTTTTTTCTGGATTACGGACCACTGAAACTAATTCTGCAGTAACAAGAAAGCCAGATGAGATCATTAATATTGCATTCATGAAGGAAGATCTTGCCTCCATACCTGGAGTTTCTTATTAACATTCAGAAAAAAAATTAATAACTTATTGTATTGTTCTAAGACAACTTTCACAGGAACTGAGAAAATTGCCTTATCTTTGCTAGTAAGCCTTTGGATCTTTATCCTATTTGCTCACTAGTGGAAGTGTTTATATTTGGCCTGTATCACAAGTGTTCTAACAGTGTTGAAACATAGGAATGCGTGTAGGGGAGGATTATTTTTGGTAATGCCAGTTAACATTTTTATGGCAGCAAAGGACTGATGTAATGTATTTGCAATAACACTCCTTTTTCTTATGTATCATAACCCTTCAATACAGCCAATTTGTTGTTGTTCCACAAAGTTTTAACTTTTCCCCCTTCTGCTGCACTCTGATGGAACCAATATCTCCAGGGAGATCTGCTAGCATACCAGAAGTATAAGGAAGATTACTGGCTTAGTTAAATGATACAAATCAGTTCTGCTACCTTTCTGCTTACTTCCAAAGCTCTTAAATGCCCCTCTCACACATTCCCCTTTATACACCTTTTCTGTCTGGTTTCCTGACACTGTTTTGCACTTGATTTTTGTTTTCCCTGGTGTCTCTGGCAGCGCTTGATTGAGGAGGAGAACATGTTAGCTCCATCTCTAAAGCAGTTTTCTTTGAGAGTAGAAATGCTGCCTTCATACATTCCTGTACGGGTTGCTGAGAAGATCCTCTTTGTGGGAGAATCTGTTCAGATGTTTGAGAATCAGAATGTTAACCTGACCAGAAAAGGTAAGGAACATCTTTCTTGCAACCTTTGCTCAGTTATGAGTGACTGACATGTAGTTTCCAAAATGCCACATTAATTAATTCCTCAACAGTCACTGACTATTGACCATTATTCTTCAGACTGTATGGATAGTTGTGCCAGGACAGAGCAGTAGTCCCAGTGTTCTGCTTCTGATTGATTCCAAGGGAGAGGTGTAAAAACAGGATGAGTAGATTAACACTTTCCAAACATAGTCTCCAAGTTTCCAGCAGCAAGTTACCATGTGATTTGCTCTGCATAAAGCAATTGCAAAGGCCTTGTTTTCTTTTCAGTTTGCATCCCTCTCCCTAAAGACTGCAAACTGACACAAAGGCACATCTTGCTCTATATATATTGCAGAATGGTGTCATGGGATTAACTTGCATCCACAAACATGAGAGATTCACTTGCAAGGTAGCCCCAAAGTTGCTATGAAAGACAAATTATATGGAGCCATAAAGACAGCAAGGGAGAGAAATTTCTAGGTGATAGTTCACTTTGAGAGCTTGAAAAGTTTACATTGAAGGTGGTTTGTGAAATATATTTCTACGCCAGTGGGGGAGGACTGCTGTGGTGGCACTACCTTGAGCATGCCTATGCAAAAGTACTTCAGTTACTTGAGTGACATTACAGAGAACAAAGGACCAATTCAGGTGGACTGTTTTCTTGCAGTAGCAGAAGCAGGGCGGGGGGAAAAATTTGTCTTCTAGCTCAGTTGGTTAAAAAAACACAAAGTCCCCAAGTTCAGGCAGTAGGATAGATTTGAAAGAGGCAGGGGTAAGGGAAGACCCAAACCAGCTGGTTAATGTTGCAGAAAAGTTTGTGGGTTTGAAGATCTAGCTCAGTCCACGAAAAAGGGCTTTTGGCAGCAACCATTTATGTAGAAAATATTTGGGGGTTTTACTGATACCACAGCACTGCTGAGGCAAGTAAATATACTGCAACTGTACATGCAATGGTAATGTTATACCTTTGTACTTGTACTTTAAAGCCTCCTCTTCACATTCCTTGCCAGACCTGAAACAGTGCTGCCTGGAGAGCCTTTCTGTTCCTCTGTTCTGTCTGCACATCTCCAAATGGCATCCATTTTTACTCTCTGAAATTCTTCTCATTGCTGCACAGGCTCCATCCTAAAAAACCAAGAGGACACTTTTGCAGCAGAGCTACATCGACTCAAGCAGCAACCGCTTTTTAGTTTGGTGGACTTTGAATCAGTGGTTGACTGGATACGGAGCACTGTTGCTGAGGTGAGCATCCTAGGAAGGGTAACTACTCTGCAGGCTGAGATGTTCTTTTGTTAAGGACTTGGAAGAAGAGGGCTCGTCAGTGCCAGTGATTGAACAAACATTTCAATGGTGCAGCTGTTCTAAGTGGTCTCAGAACTTCTAGTCACAAAAGGTCATTAACAAATGCTATGCTCTTTCATGAGGGAAAGAAGAGAGTTATGGTGTTTTTTTTAATTTCACTTGAAATTATTTCAGAACTTTTCATTTGCTTTCAACATAATAGATGGCATCTGGCTGGGCACATGCTTTGGCAATTTTTAATCTTTTTTTCACTTGGGGCAGGGAGGAAAACCCAAGAAAAGGGGGAGGTTAGAGAATCAAGAACAAAGCTGGAGTAGAACTGGTTTCATAGAAATTTGCATTCTTTTGCCACAGGTCTTCAGGTTTCTTAGGCAGAGTTTTTGCCAATATATATCAAGAATTTTAACTGGTAGCATGAGCTGCTACACAGGACTCTGACTGTGTTCGATTGTAGTTTATATAGTATTTTGTATAGGTGCTCTTTTTGTATGCATCGCAAGTGTTTTAAGACAGCAGCTACTCTTCTCTCTGAATGGCCAAGATAATTCTGAGGGGAGATTTCTGTTGTTTCATTTGATTTTTGCATTTTCACTAGCATCTTTGGAAACTGATGGTGGAGGAATCGGATCTACTAGGACAACTGAAGGTAATGCAACTGCTACTTTATTTTTGCTAAAGCAGCTGTTTCTTCTCTTCTTTGTTTCTTTCTATTAAATACTTTGCTGCCTTACACTCTGGGCTTTCTTCATTTAGGTAAAGCTGTTTTCACTTTCCAGTCTCAAGATTGGCCAGGTTCTATCACTCTATGCTCAAAGACAGAGTTAGAGGGATGTGTACTTTGCATCTTGAAATAAACAAATGCAGCGTAGACTTTTTGGTCAGTGAATGAAATTCAGAGCTGTGTTTAGAAACAGCACTTGTCCAAATAATAAAAATGGGTGCAATCAGCTATGATGCTTAAAATTTCTGCTCAGTTTTTAGTATGTTAGGTACATCAAACTTATCTCCACAGATTATAAAAGACTTTTACCTTTTGGGAAGAGGTGAGCTGTTTCAGGCTTTCATAGACACCGCACAGCACATGTTAAAGACACCACCTACGGCTGTAACGGAACATGGTGAGTGTTGCTTATTTACTAACCAACTGGCCTCATTGTGGTATAACAGGAAACTGGTAAGCCATGTCCAGTACAGAAGAGTTCTATCTTAACTCTCTAGTTTTGAAACTACAGCACTTGTGAATAAGAATGTCTCAGAAAGTGAGTGAAAACAATCTCTCAGAAACCTTCTGATGGCAGGTATTTGAAACTGTAATTAAAATAAAAGAGTGTCAATAGTGCATCAATTTTGTCTTTTAGGACCAAGAGTAAATAATTAATGGGTGCAAAATTAGCACTACCTGCATCATGTTGTGCTGATACATCTTCTCTTGTTGTCAGATGTCAACATTGCATTTCAGCTGTCTGCTCATAAGGTACTGTTAGATGACGACAACCTTCTTCCTCTTCTTCACTTAACCATTGAGTATCATGGAAAGGAACATAAAGGTATCTACTTGCATTTTTAGATGTAAATTAAGAGGGCAGATGGTGACCTTGTTCTTAAATTGATTACTTACCCTTCTCTCAAGTTAAAGAAATACTAATTTTTACCCTTTACTGCCCTATGTGGTGGCCTAGACTACTTTGGCTCCTCTTAATTCTTTTCTTCCTCTTTTCCTTGCCATGGTTGCACTGACTGAGAAGATGACATAATTCAGCACCTTATTTGTTTTTAGATACTTCTCAGACTCGTGAAGGGCCTTCTCGGGAATTATCTCCACGTGAAGCCCCCACATCTGGATGGGCAGCTCTGGGCCTTTCTTACAAAGTTCAGTGGCCACTGCACATTCTTTTTACTCCTGCTGTTCTCGAGAAGTAAGTACTAGGTGTGGTCTTTCTATATTCATCTGTATGTTCCCTGATGTGAGGCATTCACTAGTGTGATTTTATTCTCTATGGAGAGAAAGACAGAGCAATTGCTCCCTGAACCTTAAAATGGTTCGTTCCATTTACCCATATTGAAAGTACTTGTAATGACAGTAAGACCTGCAAGATGCTGACAGATCTGCACTGATTTACAATCAGCACTACTTTGACAGTGTTTTCATTGACAGCTCCCCTCCTTACACTGAAACTAACTTCATAATTTTTAGGTCACTAATCAGTACAAGCAGAAATCTTGCTCTGCAAGATGTGCCATGGGGCACATGGGCCATGACCTGACTGGCCCTAACTATTGGCAGTCACCGCCTGTTTCTTTTTCCAGTCTTGCATTGTTACATTCTCCAATAACTCCAGTAACACTGAACTCCAGTACTCCAGTAACTCCATTTTCCAGTAACAGAGGAAGATTTTAGTCTTAAACAACTTTGTACTTTTTGATTGTAGGTACAACGTTGTGTTCAAATACCTGCTGAGTGTGCGACGAGTTCAGGCTGAGCTGCAGCACTGCTGGGCTCTCCAGATGCAACGTAAACACCTAAAATCTAATAGAACAGATGCCATCAAGTGGCGTCTGAGGGATCACATGGCTTTCCTTGTGGACAATCTTCAGTATTATCTGCAGGTCAGTATAACAGAGAAAGATAAATTGTATCAGTTAATCAGAAACTGGCAGAAATGCATGGAGGGAGCACTGAAGACCTATCTCGGGTTTCTGATTCCTTGTACCTTAAGGAAATCAGGATTTCTTTTGCAAGTCTAGAGCTTCCTCCAGACTACTGCTCCAATTACGAAGTTTTTGGACTTGTGAATCAAGTGAAATGGAGGAGTTCTTTAGTAGCTCTCTAATGCTACTAAATGTTTGTGAGAAACCACTCATCTCTGAAGGACCATCATTAAGATACCATCCTGGTTCCTTTTCTGGCCTCTAAGTAAACTCTACTTTGAGTGAAGTTTTGGGCTTTTTTGTTTGGTTTTTAAATAACTGAGAGGGAGCCTGGATTTCTAAATTCTCCACAGTAATGTGGCTGAGCTTTTGTACTGCAGCCTTTGCCCTAAGATTCCAAATAGTATCTCCCAGTATAAAATTCAGAAATTACTACAATCAAATACCTTTGTCTACATGCTAGCTATATACCTTTCCTTAGTTGAAGAAAATTACAATTCCCCTTTCTACTTAGATATTACTTAGGCATCAAAAATTGTTGCATACCCCACATTATGTACTGCTCTTGTATATAATTCATTGATCAGCCAGAGAGAAGGGGATCCTCAGTCTATAACATAAAGGTAGCAATAAGGAAAGTAAATTTCTTATTCCAAACTTCTGGCTGGTCTGAAGCACTCCCAGTTCCTCAAACCACTAATGAGGTATCTTCACATACTCATCAGGTCGATGTACTGGAGTCTCAGTTCTCACAGCTTCTGCAGCAGATAAATGCCACAAGAGATTTTGAGAGTATACGATTGGCTCATGATCATTTCCTAAGTAATTTGTTGGCTCAGTCTTTCATCCTTCTAAAACCTGTAAGTAGGTCTTGTTTTCACCTTTTTCTACCAATTATCCAAGTGCCCTAAGAAACACACCTTTTTTAACAGGTATGACAAATCACATCTTTTAAAACAGATCAGTGATAATCTCCTGCAGACTACAATTCTAGGAGTTAGGCAGGTATAAACTATAACTGATAATTGAATTAAGATTGTCTATTTTACAGTTGGTGAGTGTGAATGCTGTATTCCTGGCAATTCTAAGTCAAGCTTATTTCAGTGTTCAGTTAACGTTAATAATTTGTATTTTATCACTATGTTTTTATCACAGGCTATTTTATTAAAGAAGAACTAATGAGCGTAGTGCTGGGAACTGTATTCCTGAGGGATTCACATATATGGGTTAGACTAGGAAAAATTTCATCTTCTACTTAAGAGAAAAGATTAGTTGTGATGTTCCTGAGTGGACTTAGGGTGTTTTTAATTTCATTTAAAAAAAAAAAAAAAGTTAGAAGTATTTTTATAAACAGCATCACAAAAACATCTGCAAAGAAGGTTAGTTTCAATGAAACACAACGTCTCTGTGCTCATCTATGAGGTTATTATAAAATAAAGATGTCAGAATAGTAATTACCCAGTCAGATAACTGATACAATGGAAATTCCTAGTTGAGCAAGCAGTGAAAGAACCACAGCTCTTGTTGGTCTTTATCCTGCCTTCTTAATCCCAAAGCTGCAGTGATGATCTGCTGGTTGGATAGAGAAGCCAGTGTTCAACTCCTGTGCCTATCTGGATGGTTAATTGCTGTTTTCCCAGAAAAGTCAGCAAAAGGTTGTGGGAGGGGCAGAGGGGAGATGAAACATAACATTTAAATCCTTTTTTCATAGAAAACTTTTTTTAAAATGCTGCATCAATATCTTCCAGTATCAGAAACATCTTTGTTATGAATGCTACAACTTTTCTGCTTTCTCTCTGTGTATGAACTCTGTTTCAACTATTAACTTGTACTTTTTATTCCATGTAGGTTTTCCACTGCTTAAATGAAATTCTGGATCTTTGTCATAGCTTTTGTTCTCTGGTCAGTCAGAATCTGGGTCCCTTAGATGAACGGGGAGCTGCACAACTCAGTATTTTGGTGAAGGTGAATTTGTTTCTGTGGATCTGTTCTCCTCCCGTGCAAACATTTTAACTAAGCAGTTATCTTGGCTTTAAAAGTTCTAGAACAACTGTGAGTGTAAGCCAAGACCTTCTATGTAAGTGCTTGTAATTATTTTACCTAATCAACTTGAGTTGGAAATTCTGTGTGCACAGAGAGGCAGAATGAGGGCAGATACTGGAATAGAAAGGAAGCAGAGGTTGGTACCTCTACCCCTCCTTTTGTATAACTAACATCTAGGAGTTCTTGTGGCTCACAGCTTACCTTATCCTGGACCACAAGCATCACATCTCTTGTAGTGATTCTCTTCTTCAGGCTGTTAAAGGACTGGGTAGGCAGAAACAGGGATGAGATGCTTGTTTTCCTTCTCTTCTGAGAAGGCCCAGAACTGACATTTCCAAATTTGTAGGGATTCAGTCGTCAGTCATCACTGCTCTTCAAGATTCTCTCCAGCGTTCGCAATCATCAGATAAACTCCGACTTAGCTCAACTGCTGCTACGCTTGGATTATAACAAATACTACACCCAGGCTGGAGGAACCTTGGGCAGGTAGGAATATCTTGAGGGCTGCTTGTAGCATTATCCTGAGGTACTTGAAGTACAAAGCCATTTTTTATTGATGGCTTCTAATTATTTTGACTTACACTAAGTGTTGATAAATACTATGACAGAAAAATAACAATAATAAATCAGCATATGGTAATTTTTGGATTTATATGCTTTCTTCCCATTGAGTTTCTTTTGGCAGAAAGTTGAACAAGCTGCTAGCTCATATTGGGCAGAAAATGCTGGTGTGGGTTGGTAAAGGGAATTATTTTCAACATGTAGCTAATATTGTACCTTTCTCTTGCAGTTTTGGAGTTTAAGCACTAAAGGCCTTTGCTTCAGGCTGTGACTAGTGATGCATCAAGCACTGGAGACTGGCGCTCTTGGACAGTTGCAGAGTTTGCGCTCAGATTTTTCTTTGTAGCTGGCTTTTGCCTGATGAAATGCTGTTTCACAGGGAATTGGCAGGAATTGCCTCTTATCTGAGGCTGACCAGCAATTACAGAAAGCTATTCTATTTCTTCAAGAAATCAAAAAAATATGCTTTCTGCAGCCCTGCATATACTTATAGGTGCTTCCAGGGAGGCAGTCTGAACCTCTTCAGAAAGTGAAAAACCAGAATTAGATGTCTGGACTCTTCAGCTGGACTACAGTCTCTTTACTCTTCAGCTGGACTGTGTTCCACTTCAGGTTTGAGTATGGAGGAATTAATCCTCTTCTAAGTTTTGGCTGTATTCAGAAGTTCCACTTGTGTAGTAAGCTGATTTACAGTACACAATGTCTTCTAGTCAAATACCATCAGATAAATGAAACAACAGTAGCAATTTTCAATTGAGGTGAAGGGGGAGGGAAAAAGAAATATTTTTTAAGTCTCTTCTCATGCAGTGCACTAGTCTAGTATATGTGCATAGATCATGGAGACACTGTGGGCTTTCTCTATACAATTTAATAGTTTATGTGCTAAAATTACACTTGCCAAGACAGGAGCCTTGCCCTGTTTGAGTAGAAAGGGCCTTCTGCCGGCAGGAAAATGGTAAGGAGATGCTGGGATGTTCACCTGTGCTATTCTCATTCCAGACGATTTAGAATGCTACTAGTGACTACCCTACTGAACCAAAATAAAAATATCTTGTCGTGCAATTATATGGAGTATTGTCAATGTCTGCACCCCAGTGCAAAGGGAATAGCATGGCACGGTCTTGTCTGTCACTGAAGAGCATGATCTGGCAGGAACTCTTGCCTGTTACTAAGATTTCCTAGCCTTGCTATAATGAACAGACCCTTGAATGACTGGCAAAAGAGAAGTCTCCAGTCCATCACTAGGATGTTGTAGCAGGTTTCCCAGTTTGAACACAAATGCTGCCAGGAAACCAGCCTTCCCCTCAAAGGGTTGGTATTTGCACACAGCTGCAGCTCACACTGAAGTTACATGTCCTTGGGGGGAAAAAATCCTCTCTGCTCACTCAGGAAGACACAGTAACAACAGCCAGCAAGTATAGGACTTGGCACCTTCTACACATTACAGTTGTTTATGGTAGGTCTGCACCTGATGCAAGGTTTAAAAGCCCTTGACCATGGAAAAAGCTAGAAAGCCAGAGAAAGTGTTGAAGGTTGGATGTGGGATTTATAGACCAACACAGCCAACTGTCTGAGCCATGAAATGATAGAGGAAGGAATACACATTGAGAAAAACTTTACACTTTTGAAGCAAGGGACTAAAGATTGTATGAGGATGGAGGGAGGGCTTCAGCCTATAGCACTGTTTGTGTGAAGAGCTTTTGCCTTTATACCAGCTGACCCCTAAGATGTGAATGCAGATGCTCAAAAGCAGATCATTTATCCCGTTACCATTTAAAGATACACAGTGTTTACATATTCTTTGTACCTCAGTCTCCTAGTAGTTTAGTTGTCCAAGGTTCTTGTGTCTATCTCTAGCACTCACTTCAGCAGCACCTAAATGAAATTAATAGAAAATAACAGCTGGAGCAAACTGGAGGAATACATGGTGGTATTCTTCCCAACAAACAGAAATGCTATGGCCCTGAACTTCTGCTAATGGAAAACACTCTTTCTCTGTAACTGACTTTGTGTTAGCTCAGGCTTTACTCAAAGCAGAATATTAGTGATATTCAGCTCAGAGAAATGTAAGCATTTCTTTTTTCTCTGCACTCCTTTCCTGAAGGCATTGCCCTGAGTAAGTTTAGATAAATGAGGAGTACCAGCAGATACCATAAGAGATCAAACATTTATTTAATCATAAAAGTCCAGCAGATAAAACTATATACAATAATCCATGCATACTGCCCAATTCACAAACATTTAAAACCTGTTTAAAACACAGTCTGCACAACAGTTGGACAGCAGGGCAGAGTTTCACTCAGTGAGGGACATAGTCATGTTTGTATTTTGGATGCTGCTTGTAGCCTACTCTCTCCCCAGCAATAAGACTCTGGATCACCCACTCTTGTGAGACAACAGGCAGCCGTAAAGCTTCTGCACACTTCAAGACACCAGCTGGGCAGGAAAAATCAGTCACCACCACATCATAAACACCCAAAGCAATATCTGTACAGGAGGAAAGACAGGCATCTGTCAGCTGAAGAGAGAGGATTTTGCTCCGCAGCAGAACATCACAGAAACACAGAATGCTAAATTATTTGATTTGAGAGGGACCTTAAAGCTCATGTCATTCCACCCTCTGCCAAGAATGGGGACACCTTCCACTGGACCAGGTTCCTTCAAGCCCCATCCAACCTGGCAGCTCAGTGTTTTGCCACTATGAACCACTCTTATGTCTTCTCATTCCTAGGCAGTGAATTCTCTTGGTAAAAGTTAAGACACACCTGCAGCAGCCCTGCACCTCACAAGAAAATACTCCTTTTAGTCCAGATAAAAATAAGGGGAAAACCAGTAGCCAGAAGTATAGGCGCGACCCTGAGTCCTGACCTCAGGCTGTGAGTGCTAGGGCCTACATCACATACGGAGAGGGAGAGACAGCCCAGTTCAGGAGGACAAGAGAAGCACAACTTGAGACACCAATTTCCCCCTTTCAACATAGGCTGGAAGCTGATGGCTTTTGTCTGAATTGCTGCAGCTTCTCTGCAAGACAGGTGTCCTAGATGTAATCTATATACAGATTATATTAGAGTAGTAAGCATTCACCCTTTGCCTGCCTTTCTGCATACAGACAACCTTGTAAACCATCCCGCATGGTTTTAAACCAAACTAAAGACCACAGTGGCATAGGATTCCCTGAGAAACTGGCAGTGAGTACCTTTGTTGTGAGCACGTGAGTAATGCTGTTTAACAGATGCTGCTCCCCCTGTCATGAGAATTTCAGACCACAAATCCAGGAAGTTCTCTTGCTGGTCTGACACCAGGAGAACCTTCAGGTTATGGAATGGGTTTTCTCGTGGGTGCCTGCAGAGTGAAGAGAAATGCAGACTGGTAAGAATATCCAGTAGCCTCGTCACCTGATTTGCTCCCATGTATGTTTTTTTAGTATCTTGCACACCATGACCCACTCTCTTACCACCCTTCCTGAAGTACTTGGACTGACTATCCTTTGTTTATAGAGACTAACACAGAGCTAGACAGTGTTGGTGGGGTATGTGCGCAGCAGCCTATATCCAAAGTTAAACTGAGCTCCTCCTAATCCTGAGCCCCTTTTTTGTGCACATCCAAATTACTTCCACTTTGATGGGGCTGAGCAGGAAGACCTGAGTCTCCTGCCCAAAAGTCTACAGTTATCTACAAATTTGTGTCTGCCCCTCAGCTTGCCTAAGGAGTCTGACTTCCTCTGTCATCTCAGAACAGGCTAACTGGATTAGACTCCACAGAAAATGCAGAAGCTAGCTTCAAAAGGTATCAAGGGAAAAAGAAATTAACATAGTATTGTTCTCCTTTATCCATTTCTGAGCAATTAGAGAAATTAGCCGAGGGTGTGGGAAGCCTTGTCTGAATTCTGCCTTCCTCATGAGAAAGACTGACACCTTCCTTACTTCCAAAGAGACTGGTTTTTGTGTATATGGCACCCAAATGTACCTTGGCATTAGAGGTCATTTTAAGTCCAAAGAAAGAGATGGAAATGCTGCTCCTACATGGAAGGGAAAGTATAGGGAGTCAGTACTCAGGTCAGCTTCAGTATCTGTAGCTATTCAAGAGCCTCCCAAGTGGAACAGGTCTCTCCAAGAGTCTGTAGACTCAGATCATGGTTATTTGGCACTCACCATTCTAGCAATTTTTGCTCCTGGAGGCTATATCCAGCTGGCAAAAGGTAATTCCGATAATTTTGAAGCTGATTAGCATGACAGCTATCATGGACCCAGATATGAGACACGCAAGGGATCCCTCTGGCAAGGCACAGCAAGTATTTCTGAGTTCGACAATGCTGGTCCGCAATTAAAAGACACTGGTATGCTGCATTACACTTCAGGGGAGAAAAGAAGGCATGTAAACAGGAGGCAATGCTTGCAAAAAATCCCCCCCCCCAAATTATCCTGATGCTAAACAGGTTAAAGAAGAAAACAACTGAAACCTTGATTTTCACAGCCATATTATGTGAAAGGTCAATTAGATAAAGCTAGTACCAATTTCAGAATCTGTTTAATCATATCCTATTCCAAGCTCTGCAGTTGCTCTAGGCAAAAACTGCCTAGTAGTTTTTGTATCATACCTCTTTTCTAGTTCACACAAAGACCTTTTAGTCTGAGACTCAGTAAGTCACTAGACAAGATTGCTTCCTCAAGTAAGATGTTCCAAAAACAATTTACCCTGTTTATTAAAAAAAAGTAAAAGCCACACTAAATTACAGCAGTTGTCCAAGTAGATCTGGTAAGTGAAGAGCTCACCTATGGTGAGACCACTCCAGATCTGGAGTACTTCATGCACTCCCAGGTTCTGCAGTATACCAAGAACACTAGACATGCCGGAGCAGGTCCAGCCAAGGACCACTAAGAGGCCTGGGCACTGGAGCACCTGACATACCAGAAGAAGCTGAGAGCTGAGCTTGTTAAAGATCAAAAAGGGAAGGCTTGGGTGGTCTTTTTAATGCATATTTATGACTGATATGAGGGTATACAAAAGATGCAGCCACACTCTTCTCAGTGTTATCCACTCAAAGGACAAGAAGCAACAGTTACAAACTGAAATACAAGAAATCCTTTTTTTTTCTCCCTATTTGGATCAAGTTGCCCAGAAAGGCTTTGTTGTTTCCATCCCTGACAATACTCAAAACACAACTGGACAAGGACCTAAGCAATCTGCTCTATTTGAACCCACTTTCAGCAGAGCAGTTGGACAAGATAAGCTATAGAAATTCCTTCTAATCTCAACTATTCTGTGACTGTTCTAGATTAGTAAGTGAACCCTTACCTGGGTTTCATTGAAGTCTTCCAGGATATAGCCAGCTCCTGCTTGCAGCTGTTGTGCTATGTAATGTTTATCATACGGAGTCATCTCTAAAAAATCTACAGCAGAAAGTTCAATTTTTGATTATAATCTATCTGCTTATATTCCTACATCTTAGTCTACAAAGCCTTCATCTATTCCAGTAAGGGATCTCAGCTATACTCCCAAGAATTTCTAGAGAAAATCATTAAAAGGGTAAGGGAAAAAAAAAAG